AAAAAAAAATACAGGTAAAAGTTACATTTAAATTTTTTTTGATGGAGGGACCCATCTGTAATGGGATTTGGTAAAGCAAACATATTTGAGAAATCATATTCCTAGCCTATGAAAAGTAGTTATTCAGGTTCTCAATCTTTGCAGAGAAAGTAGTATAATGACTTTATAAGGGCAAAAAATTGCAAACAATATAACCAATGAGAATAAGATTGCTTAGAAATAAATTACTTCTCCCTGTCAAGGAGATACCATATACAATTTTTGAGCCAGAGTATGCTGTCGAATTTTAAAAGAAAAATCATTCCTAACCACTTTTTTTCATTGTTTTGAGTATGTTCTGGTTATCATTTACCTTTTCAGGCAGGGAGTAGGAGACGTAGAGCTGGAAAGAAAAAAACTTAGAAAATTAAAAATAATTTTTTTCATTTTTTGGATAGATATATTTTGATATCACTTTCACCAATTATTCTTATTTTACTTATTTTGCCTATGAAATGATAACATCATAGATTAATATGGTGTTTTTCACCTCACATTTTTTATCTATGTGAGTTTATTAATGCAATAACATTCATTTTTACAGTTTTCTGTTACTTTGAATTTTCAGGTTACATGTGGAGAACATTTTGAGATGCCAAGAGATAATGATGAAGTAGAAGAAAGGGCTGAGGATTTTCCACAAACTCCTGAAATTCCTCTATTTTTAAGAACTCCTGAAGCTGTGAAAACACCTGAATCTTTGGAGAAATTAGTGTTCCCTAAAACCCCCTCAATTGAAATGTAGGATTTAAATTAATAATTATAGTTATATATAATTGTAAATATAATGTACGTATTGAGTTATGTAAATAATTGATAAGAGTAGTAAAATGCCTAGTACCTTTAACTTTAACAAGTTTTTATTATTGAATATTTCAGATATACAAAGGAGAGACTAGTATAACGAATCTATGTACCTATTACCCTATTTGAACAATTATTAACATTCTACCATTCGTATTTCATAGACCCTCTTCCCAATTTTTTCCTGCAGCATTTAACTGAAGATGGCATAGATCCTGAGTACTTATCTAGTTAAATATTATGTACATTTGAGATTTTTCCAAAGGATAAAAGAAGCCTATGGAAAAAATTTAAATGCCAAGCTAAAAAGCTGGTATCCCATATGGCAGGTTGTGGACATCATCGAATAATGTTCCAGCAGTCATTTTTCCATACATTGTAGGGTCTAGCAAGATTGCCATTCTCTTAAATAACCTAAGAAGGTTAAATATCTTCAACATGATTAACTTTGGAAGCCACAGATTTGTAGTTTGCAGCCAAGAAAATGGTGCTGCATTTTAACCTTTTTGTTTAGTTCAATCCCTTCCTTAATGCTGAATCCTGAGATTTCTCTAAAACGTATGTCAGTCATTTCACCTGTGTTCTATTGCTCTTTTAAATTGCTAGTAAGAGTTATATATATGAATGTCATGCTGTTGATGCAAACACAGCATGTTCAAAGTGGAACTCATCAAATCTGAAAAATATAAAAGGATGTGGCAATCATATGCTAAAACCTCTTTTTTGTGGGTGAGAAAACCGATCTATAAAGTTAAGTGACTCAATAATGGTCATGGAGGTAGTAATGAAAGTTATCTTCAGATTTCTATTATATTTAACAAGCTTAATAGCACTGTGTCTAAGAATTTTATAAATATTACTCATTTAAGGTTCACAACAACTTTATGAGATGTAAGTACATTATTATCCTTATTTTATAGATGAGGAAACAATCACAGATGCTACAATTCATTAGTGATAGAGTTGAGAGTCAGACCCAGGCAGTTCTGCCTCCAGAATCCATGCTTTTAACCACTGTGTTATATACTGTTTTGTCTAATTATTTTTCCCAAATCATTTTATAATTTAATATAATAATAATGNCATTAAGTGACATAGTGCATGTATTGCATTTAGGTTATGGTGTATGTGTGTGTGTGTTTTATAAATATATTAAATCAACCATTAGTACAACTTCAGGGTGAAAAAAAAACTTAAAAAAAGAGTTTCAACATGGCAGCCTGATCATATGTTGTAGCCTTCTCATATACTCTAAAAATAATAGAAAAGATATTTTAAAATTCCAAGTTCTGTACCCAGTAAACCAAAAACTGAGACATTTCTGAAGGAGGAAAGCAGCATTGGATTGAAGAGGGAAATTGTGGCCCAGTGCTTGCATAGGAGAATACTCATACAACATGTGTAGGTCTGGAAATAATGAATAAGGTAATTAGTTGGGTCACTTCAGTGGAAGTTAGTTTAGTTAACACCTGTTCATCTCATAGCCATTCTGCCTTTGGCCAGGCATAAGCAATGGGGTGACTGTCTCCAGATGGAAGCAGTGAATATAGGAGCTTGGGTTAGAGAGATAGATGGTACTCAGGGTGGTTCTTGATGCTCATGAAGAACAAGGAGCATACCATCAAGAAAGCTAGCTTCTGGTATGGCACATGTCTCTTCCCCCATTCTTGAAAATAGTCCAGAGGAACTTACCATGAAAAATATAATTGCTTTCCATCAATTCATAATTAATACACACAGCCATAGGGGTAGTGATGCCCAAAGTAATTGGTGAAACATTTTAATTCTAAATACATATTAACTATAACAACTTAAAAATCTGGTACTAAAATTCCAGATATCAATATGAGATGAAGGTGGAAAGATAAGTGAGGGAAACAAAAGTTTATTCAAGTTCTTTTTTTTTGTTTGGGGATTGAGGTAGGGAGAAGATATGAATAACTCTATGTATGGTTGCAAAATTTAGAGTTATGCATGTATGTTAAACATTTAAGGGTGAAAAATAGGAGAGAAATGGAATGTGTAAGTTTTAAAACAGAAGAAGAAAAAAGATGAAACAAAACTTAATCAGTCCAACAGGAAAATGCAGGAAAAATAAAACAGCTAGAAAGCATATAAACGGAAGACAAATAAGATGCCCAAAATAGTTCTGAACAAATCAGTAATAATAAAAATGTGACATAGTACTTCTATGGAGCATATAAACAAAATACAACTATATACTGTTAGAACAACTGATACAACCTGACAGACGCAGGCTGAAAATAAAAGGATGGAAAATATATATCAGGCAAATGCATACAAAACCTAAGCAGATGTAACTGCCATGTAAAATAGAATTCAAGATAAAAAGGATTAATAGGGATAAATATATTTCATATTTAAAAAAAGTAATTCACCAAGTCATAACCACAGTGTACCAAGTTATACAGTTTGAAAATATGTAAAGCAAAAATGGATAGAATTTGAAAGAAAACAATTGAACCCACAGTTAGAACAGGATAGCTGCTCTTAGTTTGGCTACATGTGAAACACTACAAAACCAAACCAATGAAATAATATCATCTTAAACAAGATAAACATTTATTTTTCTCTTGCCTGCCATGAAATTCTGAAGTGACTCAAGTTCGCTTATTAGGGCTGATAGCATCATCTCCACAGTTTCATTATTTCTCAGGCTCTATACATGCTTTCTTTTCCTGCTATCTTGAAATGCTAAGCTTTTGCCTCAGTGTCAAATTATGGTCAGAAACTAACCATTGCAACTTTGCCATCATATCTGCCTTCCAGGCAGGAAAGAAGAAGAGAGAGGCTAGCTGATTCAGCCCCATTTTTAAAGATCTTTCTTGGAAGCTTCTTAAACAATTTGTGATAATGTTTCATTGTCCAGAACTTAGTTACATGGCTGCTTCCATCTGTGGAGAGGTTGAGAAATGTAGGTGGTTTTGTTTTTGCTTTTGTTTGTTAAATCAGAGCACGGAAGGAAAGTAGATTTTGAGTAGGACAGAAAATTGGCAGTTTCTGCCACAGGAAAAAAAATCAAGTAGATAAAAAATAAGTAAGGATGTACAGGATCTGAATAACACAATTAGCAAATTTTGTGCCCAACATACATGGAATTCAGTTAAATTTTTGTTTGCAGTATTCATCAAAATTGACCATTTACTAGTCTATTTACTAGAACAAAAAAGATATCTCAACCAATTCTAAAACGTAGCTATCTTCACTTTTCCCAAGGAATGCTATGATGGTTTATTATTAGAAAAATCTATCAATGTGAGTGACTGCATTAACAGATTAATAAATGGTTTTAAATAAAGATTTAAAATAAAAGATTTTTTAAAAGAATATTAGGGAGATTTATATTATCAGATACCACAATGTTTATTTTTAAATTTTTGTTATTGGGATATAATTCACATATCGTAAAACTCACCATTTTAAAGTATACAATCCAGTGACTTTTAGTATATTCACAAAGTAGTGTAACCATCACCACTGTCTAATTCCAGAACATTTTGATCATTCCAAAACATTTTTAAAGTTATCGAAATGCAGTAATTATAACTGTGGAATAAGAAAAGACAGACCGATCAGTGGACTACATTAAAATAAAAAACTTCTCTGTGACAAAAGATACTAACAAAGTTAAAAGATGATAGAATGGGCCAGGGATTGGTATCCAGAATGTCTAATATGTAAAGAAATACATAATAATTTTTGAAAAGTAATGAAAAAGAATAAAAATGGGCAAAAGATAAGTCAGTTTACGGAAAACGAAAGACAAAGGGCCCTAAACATAACAAGATGCCTGACTTCAGGAGTATAGGGAATTGTAAATTAAACCAGTGAGATACCTACTTTCACTTATCAGATTTGCAGACTTTAAAACATTTGATAATATCTAGTGAAGTCAACAATAGAGGGAGTATAATTTGGCACAACTATTTTGGAGGACTGGTTCACAGTACCAATTAAAAATAAAAATGCACATAGCAATTTCGCTTCTTGGCATCTACTCTAAACAAATACTTGTACAAATACTTGTACCAGGAGGCATATAAAAATGTGTATATTGTTTAAAACACACATCAAAACAGTAACAACACTTTTTTTTTAAGAGACCAGTGTTCTTTAAGGGAAAAGGTCTTTTTCTGTGATCCAAAACACAATAAGATGACAAAATTAAGACCCGTGGCTATTATGGGATAAGCTTTCCTATTTAAATATATTTTCATTTTGGATCAAATAAGAATCAGGAACTCTTCAAATTGAGTGACTTAGGGAGAATGAGAGACTCAAAACAAACAATACAAACATTAGTAAAGCAGTGGTTTAGATATTAATATTAAAATTTAGTTAAAAGAAATATTAGCGCTTTCATACATATATAAAAAAGAGCGTTTCAGGCTTTAATCTTTTAACCTGCTGTTTTGCTTGCCTATGTTCAATTTGAGAGATTATAGAGGATAGACACAGAAATTAATCAGTTTAGAAAATGGTAAGATTCACTTGATTCATCATGAATATGGGATAAAAAATTTTTTAAAGTTTACTTTAAATGTAGAAATACTACCAAGCATAGTTATTATACTTGTAAAAAACATCAAATTCCTTGAGAGTCAAACCATTTTTGTTTCCCAGTATTCGATTTAATGTTTTGTATGTAGTGACTTCAGTTAATGTTTGTAGTTGTTACTGATATTGATAATAATGGTGATGATGATGAGGATGACAGTGCTCTTGGAGAGCTCTGAGTAGCCATGGAAAGTCAAAAATTTTTATTGTTTTGTGTAGCCTATTCTAATGCTTAGTTTCTTTTGTTCAGGAATTTAATGACTCTGCTGTGAATAATCATTCAAAATGTTCACATGTTACAGCTGTTAAAAGTTCACAAAATCTTGTGCCATTCAGGTAACTTTTAAAACTAAAAAAATGCTTTAATTTCTGAAAGACTTTATTAACTAAGCAAATAATATAAAATTATATTTATTGTATTTTAGATTGTTAACCCTGCAGAAACAATCAAATTGCAATCAGTGGTTTGAAAAAGAAGAGACAGGTATTTGCTGTTTACATTTTTCCTAAGAAGTAGGTGTAACAAATTATATCAGGTTTTCATATGATTCAAATAAATTATTTGGGTTGTTTGCCTCTCTGGTTAACTGACAATGCATACCTGGTTTTAAAATACATTTTCTGTAAATATAAAACAAATACATGTCATTGTAGAAAATTTGGAAAACAGAGAAAAATATAAAAGATACAAAAATACCACCTCCTGGACATAAACAGCTCCATACATACTGGTGTATATTCTTGATTTTTTTTCTACTCATATGTATGTTTTGTTCTTTTATATTTTCCCCACAAATTTGAAGTATACTATGTATGTCATTTTGTATCCTTTTTTTCCTACTTGATATACACTGTTGAGGTTAATTTTTTCATACCATTAAGTAGATTTTATTTGTAATGACTATATAGTATGCTGCTGTATAGATATATTATAATTAGCCTTCTCTCAAATGTTCTGTTTCCAGTTTTTTTTTGCTATTGTAAATAGTGCTACTATATTCATTTATATAAATTTTTTACTATCTTGGATTATTTTCTTTGAACAAAATCATAGGAAGGTCACAGGATATATATGTATGAGTTTATTATCATAGAATCACCTAGCTGTTGGAACTTTGATACACCTTTGAAATACCAACTCATTCTCTGTCTCTCTATGTGTATATGTATAAATGTATGTAATCTATAAAATATGTAATATATCACATCCACATATGTATATATTTTGATAACCCAGTAACGAATAGCAGTTATTCCACTCATTAGGTTATATAACTGTCTTTGCCTCTTCTTGTCTGTAGCATGTGATTACTTACTTTTATTTTGTAATTTAAAAATGGCTCATTCAGGAAATATAAAAATTCTGTAAATATATGGATATTCATAATGGTCATATAATATACCATGAGTCTGTTTCTCCCATTCTCAGTATAAGATTCAACCAATACGATATGCTTATTCCATGCAGATGGATATTCTTCCTGATTTCTTCTGGAATAAGGAATTATATCTTATATGCACAGGTGATCTGTTTCACCTGTTTATAATCCTCTATACATGTCAAGCTAATAGAGTGTTAAACAAGGAAGGAATGGCTAATGTATAGGAACAGTACATCCCTAATACAGTTACGTGGGGAAATGCATATATCTGGCACAGTCCTAGCTGCCACTGAACATATATGGTGAGGCTTCAACTTAAGAAGGTATATAATTATCTCAGAAGAAGAAAAGACTCTTCAATAATTTCCAAGCCTATCTTTTGAAGAAGTTAATATGTGGTGAAAATAATAGTTGTGACTTAAATGCAAGGGGCAAAACTATAAAGCTTTCAGATGATCAAACAGAAAAAATTCAATCCAAAAAAGAAAGGGATTTTTTTTTTTATTATTAGTTTCAGGTGTACAAAACAATATAAATAGTTATACATTTCACCCCTCACAAAGTGTTAATCCCCCTCCCCCAATCTATTGCTCCTCTGATGTATATATCTATTACAATTCCATTGACTTAATTCCCTGCTATCTCCATATCCCATGACTGTATATATATTAAATTATAGTTGACATACAACATTATTTAGCTTCAGCTTCAGGTGTACAGTGCAGTGGTCAAGCATCTACACCGTGTATGAAGTCGTCTCCCTAAGAAGACAAGTGCCCATCTGACACCCTACAAAATATTTACATTATTTATTATATTCCCCAAATTGTCTCATATCCCTGTGACAATATTGTAGTTACCAATTTATGCTTTCTAATCTTTTCCCCAAGAGAGGATTTTTTAAATAAGAATTAAAAAGAATGATAAATTTTGCTATATTAAAATTAAGAATTTTTATTCCTGAAAAGAATAGAAGGTAAGTCACCATGTCATCAAAAGACATAAAAAGAATGGAAGGCAAGATGATATATTTTCAATACATAAAACTGTCAAAGGACTAATTTTCAAAAATGTATAAAGAACTTCTACAAACCAAGAAGAAAAAGAAAGACAACCCAATTGGAAATGTTAGGTCGTCGGAAAAGTCATAACGTTAGTATTTTTTCTATGTTTTTTGTTGCAAAAATGTGTCATGACTTTTCCGACAACCCAATAGGTGCAAAGTACCCAAATAGGCACTTTAAGTAGAGAAACTTTTGTGGCAGATAAACATATGAAAAGTTGCTCAGCAAATCAGGAAACTGAAAAATAAAACCACAATGATATATCATGATACATCCACCAAATTAGCCAAATTCAGAAAGTCTGGCAATACTAAGTATTGATGAGAATGTAGGACAATAGGAAAATAGGAACTCTCATAACTATTGGTAGGAATATATATATAAATGACCATATATTGAGACCACACCCAAATTATAATTGGAGCTAATAATTTTGTCTGGTGAAATTGAATGATTTCCTAGGGTAGCTTGGGAGGGCCAGGTGCCACAACAAAAATTAGTAAATAGTTTGGAAACTAAACTTTGGAAAATAGTTTAACATCTGGTAAAATGGAAGATAA